ATCTGCTGGAGTATATCTCTGCGATGTATAATTAAGATTAATTAATTAACTATATATAATGAAATTACAATGATTATCATATTACCTATGAATGACCCTTTTGAATGTAGATATCTGCTATCCAAATTGAATCACATCTTTGGTAAAAGTTTTTTGATTTAAGTGAAATCTTAAATCATTACAATCCTACAAAAAAAACAATTTAATATCAATTAAGGAGTTAGAGCAAAATAAAGGTGATATAATCGATTTATAAACTTAGATAAGATCCATGACTATATACATATATTCGTCATTTTGGAATGCAAAACGTAGATTGCAAACCAATGGATGATTCAATTCTTCCAGTATAGATCGTTTCTGGAGTATATTATGCAGCACATCCATCTTGATGCATTCTTCCTTTAAAATATACTTTAATGCAAAGAGTTTTTTATTGTCATGTCATTCAACAATTTGAACCTGTAAAAAAAAAAAAAAGTATCAAATTATAAATTAAATTGGGAACAGTATTCTATCGAGAAATTTAAATATGTACCTTTCCGAATGCCTCTTGACCAACAATACATAATAATTTAAAGTGGTCAAGATTGACTTTTTTATCAAAAAATAAAAAAAACATCAATATGGCTTCCTATTTAAATCTGTACAATTGGGCTTTTTTTTGCTTTTTATGAAAAAAATTGCCCTGACGCAGTAGATACAAACCCTGCCTGATATGTCTGAAAAATGTCTTCAAATTTTTACAGGGTTTTTTTTTCTTTTTACTAAGATCTTATTTTTCAATTATATTGAAAATATAAAGCAATATTTAATACAATTTACAACACATCTTTAATGAATAAAATAATACAAATAAACTTAATTTCGATATTATAATAGTTATTTCTTTTTAACTATTTGGTTTGTTTTCTGCAACGTTCTTCGATAATTTATGTATTTTTTTTGCAATTGATCATTCTTTATACCCTTCATTACAAATTGATTGATATTTTCTTTCTGAATATTCATTGTTTGAAATTTGGTGAAATAGATAAGACTCTAACTTGTCTATTGATAGAGATTCAGATTTTTGTGTTCTTCTTAAAATATTCAATGTCGGAAAGAAGTTGGCTATTATTGTTAACGTTACTAATGATAAGTTGAAAACTTTTCAATAGATATAATATGCTCATTAGATCTTCGTTGCTGCATGTTTTAAATAAATTCTGAATTGTTATTAATTAAAATTTAAAATACCAACCTAATTTTAATATTACTTTTAGACAATCAAATATTGCTTATTTTCATATTTGGCTCATAAATGATGAAAGTATTTGGCGAAGTGATATAGATAGATTTAATATATTATATCAGATATTATTTTGTTTAGCTAAGTCCTAATTTGATGCAATTAACGAAATAAAGTTTACAATATAAAATACATGCTCATACCAAATTTTGTATTGCTTTATTTTTTGTTAGAAGACCCTGAACTATTATAGCCAATTATCTGTTAAGTATAAAAGCCTAAGGGAATATTAATCGTAGCCGTGTAATTTTTATTGTGTCAAAAATACCAATTGCCACTATTCTCACCCCTTTTAATAGCATCCAAAGGTAAAGCCTGAATAGCCTGGACTAAATAATCCATCCTTGTCTCTTCGTTTTTTACTTGACTACTTTTTCTAATATAAATAGCCGTGGTATCAGATATTACTATATCCTCTTCTGTGTTATCCTTGCCCTTGTATCTTTCAATAATCTCAATTACCTCTTCTTTGGCATGGCTAATATCCCAAGTATTATTCCTGATAGCAAGAAAAAAAAAGCTAGATGATATACATGATTTTTGTTTCTAGTCATAGAACTTTCCAGACAATTATTTGATCTCAACTTTTTCTAGGTGTGTGTATATAAGGTACGTCAAAAAAACAATGTAAGTAAAAAATAAAAGTAATAATCGAGGAAAAAATAATTACCAACATCAGGATAAGATACCAGAGTTTACAGATGCTAATGATGGTATAGTTGGAAATTCTGAAATATGATATTTTAGCATTTCGGCTTTTTTTAAAAAATTTCACATTGCAGTAATAACAATGTTTATCTTACAACGTTTTTATCCTATTTTACTTTTCTGTCCCCTAAAAGTCCTCTACCACGTAGTTTTAAAATTCTAACAATTTGTAGAGAGTTGCTTGTTTTCTCTTCTGAACTTTGTTCTCTTCAAGATCTTCCAAGTGAAGTATCATAGTTCTTGAGCCATAAGTTTCCGCAAAGTTAAATCAAAATAGAGAACGTATTTTGATCTTACAACTACTATTTAAAAAAATTTTTGCTTTGTAAAATGGACTCTTCTATTGATTCTTTGGTCATTCTTAATTTAAATTTGATTTTTAAAGCTCATACTTATTTCTGAAATATGCTCTCTAATTGACATACTTATGTATTGATTATAATTAATTAATACCTTTATAATGTGATTGCAGTTCATAAGCATTTGGACTACCAGTCCGTTTCTTTCTATAGTGACTATTTTTACCTTCATTATCATGATCATCATGATCGGAATCTTCAGAACAACTGCTTGAGTCTTCACCTGATGATTCATCAAATGTTTTGGCCTATGTTAGATACAACATACTTAAAAATAATGTTAATATAAGAAATAAATCGACACATAATAATAAAGTTTCTATTCATGGTTAAAATATATCAAAAATACAGAATTGATGGATAAATTACGAACCATTTTTGCACTATGATCTACATGTATATCACTAACTTAATCATTTGAGGATGAGGTGGTTCTCCTAAATACAAATATATTAATCATTTATAATTCTAATGTAATTATAAAGAAATAAATATAAATTTATTTACCAATATGATATGAAAATATCCCTGTACTGTAAAAATAAGGTTGTGATAGTTTCAGCAGATTATGAAGTTATTATAAGTTACTATAAAATATTCTGTATAGGTAAAATAGGTAAAATAAATAGTTGAGATTTGGTTAGTTTGCAGTATGAGCATTGGAATTATTATAAGTAGATTGGTTTGTCTATAAGTGGTTAAAAGTGAATTAGTCTTACAGAAAAAATCTTACAGAAAAAATTTTTAGTACAAAACGTACTCATTATTTTGGTAGCACGGATTTACATATTGTGAGTTAATGTAAAAAAAAATACTAGTATAGTACTTATTTGTTTTGTTATTTGGCGTGTAGAAAAAAATAATACGTTACATTATTCTCGCATCTATTCGAAAGTAAGCCAATAATATTCTTACGATTTATGATTACACAATTTAATCGAATTAATTTATATGGGTAATCTAAATGTTATTACTGTATTACATACAAATTTTTTTAGTATATAGTTATAGATTTAATTTAATTTTTAAAATTAAAAAACTAATTTTACCAATTTTGAAGTTTTAATTAATTTTTAAGATTAAAAAACTAATTTACCAATTTTGACAAAAACTTTTCATTAAGAAGAGTAATTTCACTACTATTTATAAGTTAAGATATATATTTTAACAAAAGGTTCTGATTTAAAATTTTAAGAGAAATTTTTTTTGCTAAAAAATGAAATATTGTCTCTAAGCAAAGTTTTAAGCTATCAATTTTATATTATATCTAATTTTTAATCTTATTGGTTAATTAGATAAGTATATTATAGTGCAAATATGCTAAATTATATAAGAGGAGTTGTACTTATTATGTAATATTATATAAGAGAGAGGAGTCAAGGGTGTCTTATATAGCACTACTCTAAAAATAGAACTATATATACTATTTTTTATTGGACAATAATCTATATTGTTGTTTAATTTGTCCATTATCATGTGAGTTGCTATAATGAACCAAAGCACTTAGTATTACATGTTCATACTATAGTAAATTATTAAAGCAAAGCAACACAAATGTGCAAAAAGATAAGTTTTTATTTTATCTAAAATTTTTGTATTATTTTATACAAAATTCTCACTTTACACTTATATTTATAAAGTGATATTCTTAATAGAATCTGAGCAAATAAAAAATAAAAAGTACTAGATAAAAATTTTACAAATTTAATATTTGTATTGAAGTTTAAATCAAAACAGCTACTACTTCTGTTTTCCCACTGAAGGTTGATCTTGCTGACCGATTGAGCATTCAGAAATGGCATATGAAATACAGTTCTCTTTTAAAAATATCAGATTAAAAAAAAACTCTTTCTGGTTCTCATCTGGAAATTTGGTAACAACAAAATTACTTTACAAAACTTACCATTTTTTATACAAAAACAACAAGGTACTTTAGGGGCTAAGGCCCTTATATACAAGAAATGTAAGCAAGATAGTATGAAAACGTCTAGCATAGATAATTTAAAGCTTGACAGAAAAAATAAAAAGACAAGAACTTCAGCTACTAAAGAAGAAAAAAATTTGGCCAAAATTTGAAGAACAGTAAATCAGAACTCAGACAATACAGTTAACATCACAAGCAGTAGTAGTATGCAAAAAAATATAGCAAAAAACAAAAAAGAAATAGTTGAGAAAACCAAAGTAGCAGAAGAAGAAAACAGCTAGTTTACTCAAACAAATGACGTGTTTCAAGATTTGGCAAAACAAATAGCACACGTGCTCAATAAAGTTAATAATAACAAACACGTAAACAGATATATAAACAACCAATTAAATAAAGCCAACAAACAGGCAGAACCCAAACAATGGTCAAGTCTGTTTTCTAAGCTCGAACATGGCAAAGCAACTTTCTCAACCTACTCTCCAAGGAAGAAAATTCATACTAAAAATGAAAATGCACTAATCTTTAAGCTATACAACTTAGTAAATATTCCCACTACTGATATTGTGGAAGCAATAGCAACTGTAGTCAGTAAAGACCTTATTGCAGCCAAACTAATCTTTACCAGAAATTGAAGATATCATCTTTACAGATGAAGATAAACAGCAGTTTTATATAGCAGAAGACCTTGTGATCTTTAAACAAACTCTCCAGGGGTACATTCCAGTAAATATTAGATGAAGTTATTTATCAGTGCGACTTCGAAATATGCCTATAGGCAGAAAGGATTTTATTTCAAAGCAAATCAAAAAAGCCTTTAAAGATATTGGCAATATTTCCTCTATTAAACCACTAGTATATAAGGGGACATCAGTTCTTACAGACCAATGGGTAGTAATTTTTAAAACAACAGATGATCCAGAACTGGCAATGAGAATACCCAGATTTATACATATTTGGAATTAGAAAGTTACAACAGATTGGAAAGAAGCCCCAAAGATGTGATACTTTTGTGACAAAATAGGCCATATCAAGAAAGAATGCTACAAATATCAAATATCAGTTGTGTTAAGAGAAATATAAAAAGAAAAAAAGTTGCAAAAAGCACGAGAATGAAAACAAGCACGAAATTAAGAACATTTTCAAATGTTATTAAGTACTGAAAACCTATATAATGAGGAATTAGAAAAAATATCATGCTTATTAATACAATAGCAAAAGATTCAAATATGAATGGTATAGTGTTAGATAAAGAGGTAGAAGCAGAAACTCGAACAGAGATATTGGTAGAAACTTCTGATTCATCTAAAGAAAATGAAGTAAAAACACAGGTGGCTGCAGTAGCAGAAACCCAAACCTTGTCTAATACAGAAGCTAAACCAAAAACAGAACCATTTCATATCAAGACTGATAATGAGATTAGTTAGGAGAATATTAGTTACTTTCAAAAAAAAAACCAAAAACTATTCCAGAAAGTCAATTACAGCTACAAACAAACCTAGATTGGGCTAGTGTTCCAAATTGTTAAAATTTTACCAACTGGTTAGTTGCCAACTATAGTTGGCAACTAACTGGTTATCAGTCAGTGAATATGTCATACAGATCGATTTTATATAGTAATGTTACACAAAAATTTAATATACTTACTTTTAGAACATAAAAAGAAAACTTGTAAAACTCTTTAAAAATTCGACTTTTATGCATTAATAAAACTTGTTCTACAGGCTTTGTTTCGTTTACAAGTAGCCTTCTTATTTTATTTTTTACTTTGCTTTTTTATATATTACAGGGTCAAAAGGGTGTATTATTTTTAGCTTTACTGCCCAAATTATTTCCAGAAAGACAAGCTATTTATTTTTTTCAACGGATCAGGTTAGTATTAGTAGCTGGTTATATAGTAACTTAGAAATACAAAGTGGAGTTTATTATTAAAATTTTCTAGTACAGTAGATTGAAAATTTTTACTATATTTATACATATAAGAAATTCGGTTAATATTAATAAGATCAGGTAAGTCTAAAGGGTTTAACCTTTTTTAATAGCTAATAAATATTCTTTAGCTGAAATACTAACTAAATCCTTAAACCGTCTTCCTTTTGTAACTTTTTTTTTTGGTTTTATAAATATCTTCGTGCAAAATATTATACAATCGAACAAGACTACATCTGTAAAAATTGAACATACGCATGTAACCATCTCGATTTATTTCCTGGGCATGCTTAAAAAGATCATGTTGAGTGGGGTCAGGATTATAAAATGCAAAAGTAAGTTCATCAATAAGCTTCTATAAAGTTTTAGTATATTGTTTAATTTTACGATTTCTTATACTAATCTTATTATCTTCTATGAATTCATCATACAATAATAGTACTCTTTCACGTTCGTCCTAGATTGCCATTATTTTTTGTTTTAGATTAGCTGGGTCTGATAAGCCGGATGTCAAATTTTGCTTGACAAATTTAATGCCATATTGCTCCAAGGTTTCATCAAAAGCTAAGTAGTGGTTTTCTCTAGTAATGTTTACTGAAGCGATATGCTTGAATAGCTCATATTGTTGTGAATGACGTGACACTGATTCTAAAAAGGTTATAACTGACGATGTATAAATATTTTTGCCAGTAGTAGGAAATAAGGGCGTGAATGCTGCCAAGCTTTTTAATTGTATATTTGCATTACCCAAACGAATACCTATACGATGAGCTTTCCAATATCTGGCTAAACAGTAAAATAAAAACCACACTTTTAAAATATTATTATCTCCTTTAAATATAGCTTCTACATCTAATGATAAATTGTTATTATTTAAATGAATATGAATTGCTATTCCAACAGCAGTGTATATCAATTCTAATACTTTACAGGTCACATGATAGTCTACGTTTTGCTCTAGCTTGTCAAGAAATCGAACACCAAGCTTTGCTGCCATGCTATAAAGACCGTATCCACTAAATCCTGCAATCAAGGCACTGCACATAGCCTTCGAAGTATGCCATTGTCCAAGTATAAATCTACAAGCTAAGTTATTATTTTTATATGTTTTTGTTCTTGCAAAAATTGCCGCATTGCATGCTAAATCAACAACTTCTTGTCTAAGATCTTCTAAGTACATATCGATTGACTTAAATACAAATTCGTTACTATTAGGTTCTGGTCCAGGCTCTAATATAATGACATTTGGCGGGTTTACTCGGCATCCCGATCCAACAATGGTAAGGATTTTAGCATTAATTTCTTCAACTCCAAAATCTTTGTTGTTATGTCTATTTATTAATTGTTTTACTATCATATCAAATTTTTCATCTCATTTCAATGTAAATGCCGATTGACCAAATAAATTTTCTTGAACTTGTAGATTTTCTTGAGTAAGTGATGATAAGTCAAATAGAAGTTCAAATTAAAACACCATTCTTAGAGTAGCATGTGAAGATTGCCGTGTAATGTCATATATATTCCCATACTTAAAGACAATATCCTTGAAGTCAATATTATCAATCACAGCAATGTTCTATATATTTGAACCCTTCATTAATCTTGTCAAAGGATTAGACTTATAAAACGTTTCTTTTCTAATCTTGTTTCATGCTTCCAGGTATGGGATATAATATATACTGCATGTAATATAGCTTGCAAAAAAGATATTAATTTAGGCTTTTTACATAAAGAAGCCATGGTATAGGTAAGCCATATCTTCCACGAACGAAAGGCTGTTGTCAAAATAATAGACACAAAAAATGATGTAATTTTTTTTATAGGTGCTATATTAAATTCGGTTTCTTTTTTTTCATGTTGTTTATTTTTTCTTTTTCTTACTTTATATTTTCGTTTTTCAATAGATTCGATTAATCTATTAAAAAAGCTAGTAAGTATCAAAGGGAAACTATCATAATATTCATCTAATGAGGATAGATTTTCTAACTTATCCCGATTTTTTGTGCGAATTACATATTGTATTTCCTAACATTTCTCCAAATTGACGGCTTTCTTCTACTTCTATAAGTTTTTTATTTGTAGAAGAGTAATCGTCGAACCTATTAATTTTCATGGCAATTTTTACAAGCAATGGGCTAGGTAAATTAAAATCTATATTCATTGAAGTTGATGATGATGATTCCAGGTTTTCTATTAATTTTATAAGATACCGCAATATCTCTTCTTTTTTATTCTCATTTTGAGAATATAAGAGTCTAAATAACCAAGACGAAAAAAGCCTTAAAACATGGTTAGTGTTGTCTGCATGTAGGTTATTCTCAACACATGTTTTAGACTTTTCAGGTCCTAAATGTTTATGAAGATGCCCACCATGTTTTTCGAAATATTTTGCAGATATATCTAACATATCTGTCATCAATAGTAAAATTCGAGCCAATCTTTGGAATTCTTTGAAATACGGGCAAGATTTTAAACCAAGACATGGTACTTGAACATCTCTCCTGCATACATTCCAACAATGATCTATACAATCATTACCTCTACTAAAAAACGATTTATATTTATTGCATAATAAACATTTTTTTTTACTAACTACACCTTTAGTGTAATGCCTTAATTGTTTAGTACCAGGCAAATGAAGTTGTTCATAATCAAAATTAAAATAATTAGAGCAGACTCCCAACTCAGCTAAGTTTAAAGATTCATCTGGAGTCAATTCTACTTCCCATGTGCCAACTAATTGCGCTAGTGATTTTAGAGAAACTGTTGAATTGCAACGTCCAATTGCACCATTTAAATTATCAACAATAACACAAGGCGATAATTTTGTTGTTTTAGTTTCGGGAATTTCTTTATAATCTGTATCGTCATCATCATCATTATGTTCAGATAATGTATCTCCAATATCGTTATCTTCGTCTTGAATTTCTTGATCTTCTAATAAACTTCTTGCTTCTGTCATGGCTAGGTAATCATGAGTAAACATAAATTTATGATTATTTAGATCAGCATTCCAACTTTCTTCTTCTAGATCCATTGGGGCTAATTATTAATTAAGTAATATGTAAGTAATGG